AGAGAAAACTTCATTTCTTAACAATTTTTTTTCCCGCTTTCTACATCGTTTTTATATCACGATTTATATCATTGTTATAATACCCACAACTAATTTTTTAACCACTCATTTGGCTTAAAATTATCTAGTTTTATTACAATATTTATTTAGTCTTATTGCTATATTTATTAATATATTACTTATCTCCTGATTTTCATATTATTACTGTTCACAGAAACTTTCATGTTATATTATCTTGCATTCATTACTCAGCTTTGTTTTAATTTTCACATGCACAATTTTCATCTTTATTATTATTCAGAGAATATTTTTATATCCTTCATTTAATGTTTACATATATGTCGCTTACATTTTTAAGGTTTTTGTGCAACGTTCTTTTTCGCTATCATATATTATTCTATTATTATTATGATTTTGGGTTTCGCGGGTTACTCATTTTCCTACACATTTGATTGGTTATCATATTTCGAATGAGGTATCTATGACAGCGTTAGAGTTTATTTAAGGGTATTGTTTTGTTTATTAAAAAATTTTTTTAATGAGGTATACTGCTTTCTGATTATCTTGGGCTTGTTTATTGTTTATTTGGTTTTATTTCTTAAAATAAATTGATTAATATTTTTATGTTTCTATTAGAATTTTAATTTATTTTGTTTTCATGTTTTCTTTTGGTGGTACGGTAAGTGTTTTATTTAGTTATTTTTATTTTTATTTTTATTTTTGTTTGTTCAGTAAATCGATACTTTTTATATCATATCATCAAAAAAAAAAATTGGTGCTTTACAAATTTGGGGTTGGTTGGGTTTTGGCTATTTGTAGTCCTTTTTTACTGCAGTATGGAATAGGCGTAAGTCGCGGGGTAAAGCATAAGTGGGGATGACGTTTGTCTGACGGGATAAACTAGTTATAAATGCTGATCCTCATCGAAACGCCAGTAATAATAGAAGCGACTCTGAGGAGATGTTTATTACTTATCACTACACTAATTATGTTTACACATTAGCATTAATGTTTTTTTTCCATTATTAGTCCTTTCATTGTTGTTAGCATATTTTTAATTTGTTGAATAGTTTTTTGTTTTACAAATTGTTGACTGGTTATGTATTTCTTGTATATTTTAGTTCATATTGGTATTTATAAAACAATTTTTTTATTTTTTATTTTTTTTATATATATATATATATATTTTTTATTATTATTTGTTTTTATTTTTTATTTTTTTTATTATTATTTTTTTTTTTTATTGTTATTATGGTTGAGTACTGTTTTGGTTGAATAGCTTGTCTTATTTATTTTTAAATATTCCTCTATTAATCTTTATTTTTGTCTTGACAACTGTCAAAATATGCTTTGTCTAATAAATAATTCTCCTTTATTCTAATGTACTTCATTTCTTCCCTCAGGTGTTCACTGCTTGTGTGTGACCATTCGGCGAATTTTATATGCCAAAGTTTTTAAATAAAATTCGCATAAAATGTGTAAAAGCTGTAGTAGCAAAAGGTTTTGAATTTATTCATAAATTAAAGTAACTTAAAAAAAATCTTTCTAAAATTAATGCTTTGAAAGATTTTTAGGAAGATATGGGAAAATAGTTTCAAATGTTTAAATTTATCATGCCTACACAAAAAATAATTTATAAAAACATTTTTTATTAATTTACACATGCGTTTATGTAAACAATCATTAAAAATAATTATATGGTTTTATTTTAAAGCCTTTCGCGTAAAATAAAAACTTTAGAAAAGATCAACAATTAAAAGATATTCATAACGTAACAATTTTTATTGCATTTTAATTGTTCAAACATCGAAATAGCCGTGGTCATGTTGTAAAGAAAAAAAACTATTAGTGTGGTCAGTTACATAGTGCGATCGCACGCCATTCCTGTCCAAGCCTTATATATATATATGTATATATATATATATATATATATATATATATATATATATATATATATATATATATATATATATATATATACTTTCTTTTTGTTCTATATTATTTTCCTTCATCTCAAGACTGCACTCTTTTTGATGTTATTTCTGGTCAAATTGACCAAGGCCTCTCTCATTATCCATCAGCCAATATTGTTGTTGTTGGTGAATTTAATGCTCATCACACGAAATGGCTTGGCTCTAGTGTCAGTGACTCTGCAGGGATTAAAGCCCACAACAATGTCTTGTTTCTGATCCTAGTCAGTGCTCAGTCTCTTCACATTCACCCTTAGGTGCTTCTGATCACGGTTTGATCTCTCTAAAACTATCATCTCATTCTTTTTCATCATCTGAATCCCCCTATTATCGTACCTCTTACAACTACCTTAAAGCTTACCATGATTTTATTCGTGATGGGTAGAAATCTTTTGTCTTCCTGCTGGCAAATGTGCTTCTTACATAACTTCGTGGATTCAGGCTGGCATGGAATCTTTTATTCCCTCTTGACGATTCCAGTTCAAGTTTTACTCTTATCTATCAGCAAAACAATTCTCCAGAAAACAGACATCTGTATATTACTGCTAGAAACCATTGTGAAAAGGTTTTGTCTAATGCCAAAGCCTGCTATTCTCAGGTCTTGAAATCTCATAATTTATCACAAAAATTAGGCACTTGTGACTTCTGGAGAATCTTTAATAGTATCAATAATAAGGCCGAATCTGTTGTTCCACCTTTCTTCTATGGTTCACATTTTGCCACCTCACCTAAAGACAAAACTGAGTTGTTTGCAAAGAACTTTTTCTCTTGATTCCACTAGTTCCATTCTACTTGATTTAGCCGTCAAACTGGTTAATCGATTGCTTGACATTCTTATCACTCCAGCTTTTGTATCTAAAGTGATTTCCTGCTTAGACTCTTCCACAGCTTGAAGTCGGAACAACATACCTGTTATAGTCTTGCAGAAGTGTTCTCCAAAGCTGTCATTTATACTTTCAAAACTATTTAACAAGTCTTGTTTTCCAGCCTGTTGGAAAGCAGCATCTGTTATCCCTATTTTCAAAAATTCTGGAGAGCGATCTGATTTGTCTCACTACTGTCCCATTAGTCTTTTTTTTCTATCATAAGCAATGTTTTTGAGTCTTTAATTAATTAATACTTAATCTCTCATCTTGAATCTAATAATTTACTTTCTGATCATCAATATGGATTTCGATCTTCTCGTTTTACAGCTGATTTGCTAACAGTATTAACAGATAGGTTTTATTGAGCAATAGATAAAGGTGGAGAAGTTAAGACCATCAGTCTTGACATTTCTAAAACTTTTGATAAAGTTTGATATGCTGGTCTTCTCCATAAAATTTCTTTTTACAGTGTATCTGGTAACATCTTTAAGATTATTGAATCCTTCCTTTCCTATTGTAGTATAAAAGTTGTCCTTGACGGGTAGCACTCTTCTTCATATCCTGTAACTTCAGGGGTTCCTCAAGTTTCAATCTTGGCCCTATACTTTTTTTAATTTACATTAACGATCTTTCAGATAATCTCACATCTAAGGTGGCATTGTTTGCTGATGATGCTACCATTTATTCTTGTCATGATAAGAAGCCAACACTCTCTTATTGCTTGGAGGGGGCATTTGAACTTGAAAACGATCTCACCTCTTCTACAGCATTGCTCTCACAGTGGTTGGTGTATTTTAAGTCATTTATTACTCAATTTTTTTCAGCCAATTGTTATTGCAATAATTTAGATCTTCCTATATTTATGAATGGTAATGTACTAGATAATTCATCTACCATTCATCTTCTAGCATTATTTTTTACTTCCGATCTTTCTTGGAAACCATATATCAAATCTGTTGCAAAATTAGCATCTGTTAAGATTGCATCTCTTTATCAAGGCCTTGTATGGAATACTGATGCCATATCTGCTGAATCTTCTAATGATGCTCTTTCTCTTTTAGACAAGGTGCAAAAATGTATTGTAAACATAGTTGGACCTGTTCTTGCAGCTAACCTCCAACCATTATCACATAGTCGTAATGTAGCTTCTCTTTCTCTTTTCTACAAATACTATAACGGGCACTGCTCTAAAGAACTAGCGCCTCTTTTGCCATCTACTAAAATTCTTTCTTGTGTTACTTGTCATTCAATTAAGTCTCATCTTTTTTTTTAGACTGTCTAGTTTTTCATCTAGTTTTATTCCTCAAACATCACTTCATTGGAATGCGCTTCCTTCATCTTGTTTTCCTTATTTATAAAATTTGCATTCTTTTAAGTTATCTTGCTCAACAATTTTTATCTTTTCTCTTCCAGTAACTTTCAACTCTAATAGTGGTTGCTTGCTTATATATATATGTATATATATATATGTATATATATATATATATATATATATATACATATATATATATATATATATATATATATATATATATATATATATATATATATATATATATATATATATATATATATGTATATATATATATTTATATATATATATATATATATATATATATATATATATATATATATATATATATATATATATATATATATATATATATATATATATATATATATATATATATATATATATATAGATAGATAGATATAGATATATATATATATATAGATATATAGATATATATATATATATATATATATATATATATATATATATATATATATATATATATATATATATGTATATATATATATATATATATATATTTTTATATATATATATATATATAAATATATATATATATATATACATATATATATATATATATATATATATATATATATATATATACATATATATATATATATATATATATATATATATATATATATATATATATATATATATATATATAGATATAGATATAGATATAGATATATAGATATATAGATATATAGATATATATATAGATATATAGATGTTTAGTTATGTACACATATAATATATGTGTGATTATAATGATGATGATGATGATGATGATGATGATAAAAATGATGATGTCCAGGATACTAATCTTAAAAAAGTTTAATTTTATAGGTATTTTTGATCCTCCTATATTTCACCCCAATGTTTTCCCATCCGGTAAAGTTTCTTTATCATTGCTTGAGAAAGATTGGGTACCTCAAATAACTATTAAACAAGTATGAAATTTTTTTCTAATGTAATTTAGTTTAAAGTTTATTTATAAGAGATTACCATTGGTCAAAGAAAAAGAGTTTTGTCTATCTTGCATATGAAAAAAATATTTTATAACATTTAAATCATCTTACTCTGTGTAGTGATGTAGCAATTTCAAAGATGTTTGATGAAGCATATTCTGCAAACATTCATGAGTTGTTGTTTTTTTAAATAAATTGATATATATATATATATGTTTGTGTGTGTGTATATATATATATTTTTCACTTATCAAGTGGTTTGAGTCTAGTTTGAACATAATATTAAATAGTTTTTGTTTTTCACTTATCAAGTGGTTTGAGTCTAGTTTGAACATAATATGATAATATTAAGGCTTTGCAAGGTTATCCTGCATCGGATCCCGCGTTTATTCGGGCCGGCCCTGGCTTTAAGTCTAGTTTGAACATCATTTTGTGTTATTAAAACTGTGTCTAATAATAAGTTTAAAGGTATATTACGCAAATCAATAATGCTTGTATCATTATCATTGACATGCACAGAATGAAAGTATTTAGTTTAGTAGTGAATTGATCATTTATGATTTCAGCAATTTCGAATTTGATTTGAATTTGCTAGCTAGAGTACTTTCTATTTGTTTTATATTGTTCTTGATATCATTTTTTATTCCAGTTTTTAACTTATTATATTCAGTTTTTGTTGATTTTTCATTCCAGACATTAGTGATTTGATCATTTATGATTTCACCATGTTCATTTTCTAAAGCTCGAATTTTAGTTTTCACTGATTTCTTTTCATTGATATATTTATAAAGCAATTTCGGAATTGATTTGAATTTTCAAGACAGAGTACTTTCTAATTGTTCTTGATATCATTTTTTATTCCAGTTTTTAACTTATTATATTCAGTTTTTGTTGATTTTTCATTCCAGCCATTATGTTTATTAAAAAGCTATATATTGTTTTTAGTTCTTACTTTATATTTCAATTCAGGAGTAATGCATTTGTTTCTGTTCTTTATATTTTGATAATTAATTCTTTGGATAAATTGTTCAGTTGCATAATTAATAATAATACATAATTAAATCATACATTTCATTTATAGATTCACTTTTAAATCCATTTTCCCTATTCACATTATTGAAGTGACTTGAAAATAATTCTTAATTTCCTTTTTGATATAATTTAATAAATTTCTTATATTCAAGATTAAAAAAAACTTTTTTTCAAATAGAACTTTAGGTTTTTTGTAGTATTTTCCAGCAAACTTACATACCTGGTTGTATTAAGGAGATTGCACAAGATTAATTTATCAGCTGATAGTTGAAAAACATCAGCTTAAGTACCGCCACAAAGAAAATCTCAAAAAGAATCAGTCAGCTTTAAGGTAGTAAGTAGTGCAGTGATAAGGTGAGCTCAAAGAAGGAGTGCAAGAGAAAAGATTTATAAAGATAATTGTATAGTTTGAACTACCTTTAGGAGAACAAGAATTAAACATAAGTTAGAGTCAGAGATAAGACTCTAATCAAGGAGTGAAGGGAAGTGATCAAGATTAAATAAAAACCCAATCACTAAGTTAATTTTCTGAGTAAAGGATTAAAAAATAAAGAAGTTATGAGCTTTAGTTTAGACCAACAGTGATGTTAGAGTTAAACCATTTAGTGCGATGAGCATTGAAATCACTAATAACAATAATATTAGATGAAGGATATAGAGAAAGGACTCTGTCAATTTGATTAGAAATTACATCTAAAAGAGTGCAGAAGAAAAAAAACTATAGAATTTTGCATCATTATTTTTTTTTTGGCACACACATTGGCATTTGTAGTTTTCAACTCAAATTAAAAATATTTTCTTTATCTCTGACTCTTACAGCTAATGCTTTGATTTTACTGGACAAAAGTAAGTGAATTTATAAAAATCTAGTTTTTGCTTATAATAATATTTTGTTAATGATCCAATGAGATTTTTCCTTATGATTATGACTTCTATGAACTTCAGGTTGTTCATCATTTTCTGATTGATTTAATCTGCTTAGCTTTCATTTTATTCTCAGTTTTACGCGGTGTTTTTGTTTAAAAGCTAGTCATAAAACTTTGTTCAATCATTCACATATTGTTTCATCTGCACACAAAGTAGTCCACTGCCTTGTAAACAGCAGCAGTTTGATTTATACTAAACATTTTAAGTCATGGTTAACTCCACAAGTTAAAGTTATTTATGCAGTAGTGGTTTAGTGGTAGACCACTTGCTTCATAACCCAGAGGTTCCAAGTTCAACCTCCAGGTCCTTGGTAGTTCTTGGCTCAACTGGTTTCTTCCCCTTGTGGACTTGTGTGTCAAAGCTTGTGTATTGGAGTTTAAAATTTGAGAGAATTTTGTAACAACAAATTATCATGTGGTGTCATTTGTGAAGTATATATTTTCACAGACTTTGCATAGTTTGTATAGCAACAACCAATAAAAAGAGCTCTAGCATTATCTGTTTGTGCAGAAGCTAGTTAATGTTGATTTTTGTTCCATTATCAGTTATCATTAATCATTACCATTGTATCATTAATTATTACCATAATTGCTTTTACTAATTTGCAAAATTAGTTGATTTTCTCCATTGGAATGCTCTTATCTGTATTAAAAAATTTTTTAGTTGCTGATTTAATTATCTTTACTTTTTCTAATTCTTTTTGTTTTTTTTACTTCTGTTTTTTGTTTGAATTACTATTGAAGTATTTCTCTAATTTTTTTTTTATTAAAGAGCCTCATCAGTTTTGCACTCAGCTTATTTTTACCTTTTCAATTAAAATAAATTTTAAATCAATTAAAATAAATTTTTGGAAAAATATCAAATACTTTTTAATTGCATAACTCTATGGTAAAAGTTGTTTAGTTATTAATTTTAGTTATTAAAATATTAAACTTATAAATTGCTTTATTTAATATTTTAATTCTGCTAGTAATTTATAATTAATTAACAGGTTTATTATTTAAATTTAGCATTTTTTTGTTGTTGGTTTACATTACGAATTTTACTTTACATTAAGAATTTGCCAAAAATAAATGCCATATTAAACAAGTCATAAACTATCATCTATTAGAAATTAATTGATTTTAATGTAAATTATTATAGGTTCCTTAAAATACTTTGTTTATATAAATAGTTTTAACAGATTTATTATGATAAACTTTAACTTGAAAAAATGTATTATTATATATTTTTTTAATTTTGTGTTGGTCATTAAAATGCTTTTTAAGTTACAAAATATTATAAACATGGTTAAATTATTAAACTGTAAAGTATATTTGGTTACAAAAAGTTTATGGCAAAGTTTTATTTTAATGAAATCAAAACATAAAACGTCAAAGCATAAGTTCTATATTACATTCAGCATATGCTTGAAAAAAGGTGTCCTTTAAAATAGGTTGTTTCATGAGTTTTCCAATGGCACCATGAAAACTTATTTCCTAGTGTCAAGTCTAGTTACAATTGGCAACTTCAATTATTCTATGATTCCTGTATGATTCCTACTGCTTTCAGCTGTGAAGCTCAAATATGACACTGGTATTTATGGTATTTATGGCTTATGCTTGGTCGATGATGAAGATTGAAAGTTGAGAAAATGCAATGTTTTTCATTTAGGTTCAGTTCTATTTTTTTTTAAAGAAAATCTTTTGGGTTAAATCTTGCATAAATCTGTACCAGTTTAATTTTGGCTTCAAAATATAAAATTGTACAAACGTTCTGTCGAAAAAACTTTAGCTCCAAAATTAACTTTAAACGGAATTACACCAGACTTTTAATAGGTATACTGTTAAATTAGTAGATTGGAGTGTAGAATTGATGGGTTAGAATGTAGAATTGGTGGATTAAAGGTATTTGTGAACAACTTTGTTTACAGCAACCTTTAATTTAAACACCATTCTGCGTTTTTGTGGATAGCAATTTGTCTGATATACTATACTCATCCCATGGAAGGTTCCTTTCCCAGTTTAAATTATAACATTGTAATCTACACTGTCTGCTGCCCACTGGCAAAGTGTTGGTCGATTTTCTTGTTTAATTGGTTGTATTATAGGCTAATGATAGCTAAATTCCTTTTTTCTTTTTATCTTTTTTTTTTTTTTCATTGTTGTATCATTATTGTTGAGATATATTGATCTTCCTTTTTCTCAATTTATTAAGTATTTATTATTAGAGGTATTAGTTTTCCAAGGTTTAAGTAAAAGCTAAATTATGTTATTATAAATAAATGTTCATAACTTATTTTCCCTACAGGTTATTAATGAAGTTTTTTTTTGGTCATAAAACTAATACAGAAATCTTTATTTTACCATAGAATTTGTTCAATTAAAAGTCATCAAATAATTAGGCAAAAAAATAAAAGAATTTATTAGAATTTCCATGTTTTAATGATTATTTGTTTAAAACAAACTTTAATCTAATAAAAAACAATCGAAGCTATGAATGGCTTTTTCTTTAATTGCAGATCAAATATTTTCCTAATTAATACTTTACTGGTCTAATATGACAACTGATTCCTAAATTTTTGGCATATACAATTTTTTTTTCAGGTTCTACTAGGTATTCAGTTATTGTTAAATGATCCTAACTTTAACGACCCTGCACAAGTTGAAGCTTTTGTTGTTCACAGGTATGCTTATTTGCGCATTTTATAGATTTTTGCTTTTGATAAAAAAAAGAAAAAACAAAAACAAAACCATCAATTAAGTTCATTAAATGCTTTGATTGAAAGAACTCAGTTAGTTCGAAACTCTCTAAAAGGTTAATCATGACATTATCATTAATAGTTAATCATGGCAATAAGGTCGTGGTCAAATACGACTATTTTTATTACAATTTTTTGAATTAAAAATTTTGAATATATGTATGGCCAACTCCATAGTTCAGTGACGCATCATGCGGAGAGATTTTTTTTAATAAAAGTTTTTCTATAACTCAAAAATAATTTTTTATTACTCTAAATCAACCTTGAATTAATATTTGAAAATATAAATTATACATAACACTGACACAGCAAAAATTTAAACATGAGTTCAGTGACGCAACGCGGAAAAAAGTATTTTTTATCAGCATACTCTTAAATGGAATATTTTAATTCTTGCTAGATTAATTAAATTTTTTTATTATAATTTATTCATTTGGCAATAAGGCAGTCATAAAAAAAGCCACAAGCAACAAAGTTTTCATATCGTTTTATTTTACAGAAAAACAACTATTAGTTCAGTGACGCAACATTTAGCGACAAAACAAAAAGATGGAATTAAAATCATTTTTAAAAATTTTGTTATTTCGTAATAAATTTTAATTATAATCAGGTGAAAATAGCATCGGAACAACGTTATCATTCTGAACATAAAAATGTGATTTTGATATATCTTTGATTTTTCTTGAGTAACTTAAAATTGAACTGAATCCAAGTTCATTTTTTTGTTGTTTTGTGTCGTTTTCTGACATAAATTACAGATATTTTCAAATTTTGTAATGCTAAGGCAAAATCTGCTGCTGACCTGATCTCGCATTGACTAGATTTAACTTTCAGGGCTGCGCTTTGCTTAACAGTAGCTTCTATTTTGTCAACCACTCTTCTATTTTGTCAATTCTTCTATTTTGTCAACCACTTATTTCCTGTGCATCGCTGGAAAGAAATGTCAGAAAAATTTTTTATGAAGATGTTTTTCAAACAACCATTGTAGTCATAATTTTTTTGTTTTTGAACTGAGAAGTGGCATTATTGTCGAACATGTGTACTTATTTGACTTGATCAGGAATAATGTGAAGGATTTTGTCAATGTACGGTATAACGGAAGACTTGTATGATCAGTTGAATCAGAAATTATGGCAAATGTTTTTAACTCAATGTTCCAGACTGCAAGGGTCATGATAGAAACTTGATTTTGACCAAAATGAGCCGCTTGCGGTTCATTTTGATAAAAACACCTAGCGTTTTCAGCCCTTGGATTAACTTTGGATTAACAACTTGGATTACCGCAGTTTCAGAATTAATATTCATCGAAACTTCCTTCAGTTTTTTAAAAATTGTTGATTGGTTTTTCTTTACGAAGGAGTGTTAAACAAACTTATCACGCATCGCTGATATTTGTTGGATGAGTTTTGTTACAGTCGACTTTTGAACTTTTTTCAATGTATATGTTTTAGTTTCAGGCTTTCTCCATTCATCCCAGGATACTTTGAAGCCAAATGTATTAAAAGTTTTCAAGTGTTTATTGAACTGATTCATACCTTTGCATGCAACCCATTTGTCATAGGCGCAATCGTATGTGTACGGTTCACAAACAAAGTTATTTATCATTTCAGATCCAACTTTGATTGAAGACGCTTGAATTAATTTTGTTTATGCATCTAAGGCAAATTGCATATTTTCATGCGAGCTACAAACAAACATGCGGAAATTTTCAACTGATCTCACATTGCGTAGGCGAAGGTCAAAAAATTTGCTGAGTCCAATTTTTATGTGCTGAAGCTTTTCCTTGAATAACTCGAAAGCTTCTTTTAGCGTATAATATAAATGACGTATCTGAACATTGTTTGCTTTTCCGTCAGATAATTGAGTTCGAGCGACATTTTTTTTTGTTTGGAGATATTTGGGAAACTTCATCTTCATTATAAAAGTTTACAACTGCTAAAACATCGCTTTCAGAAAGACCATACAGCTTTGAACATGCTGGAGGTCTGGACCCAAATTATCTTTACAAGCAGAGCTATTTGAAATAATAGAAAGAATTTCAGATTGTTTCTTTTTTGAAGTTGGTAGTGCTTTTAAAACTTTTTTCAATGCTTTTCCTCTTTGTTGAACATTTTTAAAAGATAAGCTTGGTCTTTGAGATTGATTTAAAAGTTTTCTTTGTAGAGCGCGACTTTTTTATTAGGATTGGCTTTTAATTTTTCTCGATATTTCTTAGATTTTACTCTTTACATTTCTTTCTTTTTATCAGCATTCCGAGAAACATAAGTAGCTTGGTATTCTGCATAACGTTTTGTTGTTTTTTTTAAGTAAAAATTTCACTTAAATAATGAAATACTTTTTTTAATTTTTTTTTTTTTAATTTTATAAATTTTTTTTAAAAAATTAAAAAAAATTTTTTTTTTTTTACTTCTAATTTTTATTCCATTTCTTAAAAATTTAATAAGAAAATGCAAACATAAATCGTTTACAAGTATTTACTAATAACCCTTCACAATACTAAAATGCAAAATTTATTTGTATAAAACCCACAACGAAATCTGAACATTTGGATGATATTTTGACTTCCTTACCACGCTATTTTATAAACACTAGTTATCCCGTTGCACAGTGGGCCAGGTGGTGGAAAAAAGTATAAAAAAATCTTCACAAAAATGACATTGTTATATACCATTTTATAGCTTAAACATCTGGCTTTTGTAAAATGTATGTATTTCTATATAACTATAATGCTGTTTACATTTTAAGCTGTTAATAAAAAAGCTAATTTTTTTTTCAAATTTTTTTTTGTTGTTGTTGTTTTTTAATTTAATAATATTTTTCGTGTTAGTAATAAGCATAAAATTGTTTTATCTCCAAATGTCTCATAAATAGTATATTTTTTGTATAGGGTGAAAATGAAATATTTTGATTTCTATGCATTCATTATGCATAAGCCTAATAATTTACAAATATCTGACTCTGGTTTTGTGGACAATTTTGTTGATGCTATGAATTTGGATTGCAACAAGCAGCAATTAGGAACTATAATAACGCATCTACGAGATAAGTGGCGCAAGACATATTGCAGCATGGCTCGATTTGAAGAAAAGAACAAAAAAATTTAAATTTAACATCAATACCTATTGGAAGACCAAACAAAACAAACTTTGATGACTACTCTACTAAAACCAAAAAACATAAAGTTAGTCACTTAACTGAAATGTATTCCGCTTCTGCGTTACAATTTGCTTCAGAAATTAAACGGAGAAAAGAAAATCCAACTGAAAAAACCTCAAAAGAAAGATTGTAGAATGTCTAAAGATGAAACTCTTTGTCTTCTTTTAGATGCTAGATTGACAAAAGCTTACTACCAAAATTATTCGAAATCAAGCAATTGAAATGGGAGTTGATATATATCCTCCATATAATGATGTTCGGGATGCAAAGCTGTTATGCTATCCTGCAGATATATCTGTCTCAGACTTTTCAGCTGAAATAAAACTGCAAGCTTTGGTCGGTCATACAGCAAATAGAATATGCAAGGCACAGTATGATGTCCTTAGCACTGAATCCTAGCCACATGACAGTCTATATATAAACAAATATCGCAAGGAACAGTAATACGAAATTTAAACAATGAGCAGGCACTTTTAATTACTTGCCTAGTGCCATTGGATTTGTGTGGTTTTTCAAATGGAAAACGGTACCCAGCTTGGCGAAATCCACAACCATCATCAACAACGTACTGTAGACCTCTGCGTTTTAAATTTGAAAAAGAAACGGCAGCAGATCTCATTAGGGTTGAGATTTCAAACTTGCAAGATACTGAAGTTGATATTAATAATAAAAAAATCAAAATACATCGTGTAATTCAAATTACTATGATTGAAACTTCAGCTCTTTCAGATGTTACAAATTCAAGTCCATGCTGAACTATATGTGGGGCAAGTCCTAAAGCAATGAATGATATTGAAAAAATGGTTTTAAAAAAGGGTATGGCAGGTAGTTATTTATTTGGTTTATCATCTTTACATACGATTTTGGATACGATTTTTTGAATGTTTATTACGTATTGGATTTAAAATAACTTTAAAAAAGTGACAGGCAAGAACAGCAGAAGATAAAGTAAAAGCTCTGAAACAACAAATTCAAAATAGTTTTAAAGATGAAATGGGCTTGATAGTTGATGTTCCGAAATCTGGTGGTAGTGGAACATCAAATAATGGAAATACGCCTCGAAAAGCATTTCAAAATGCGGAAAAGTTTGCAGAAATTTTAAATATTGATGTTGAACTGATTTTAAATTTGCATATTATATTGGCAACAATTTCATGTGGTTTAGATATTGACACTGATAAATTTGAGGCTTTTTGTTTAAAAAAAGCTCGACTTTATGTTCATCATTATCATTGGTACTTTATGCTACAATCTCCCCACAAAATTTTAATCCATAGTTCTGAAATTATTAAAAGTTTAGCATTACCCATTGGCATGTATTCTAAAGAAGCTCAAGAAGCACGCAATAAAGACTTTCAAAACTATCGTGAACATTTTTCAAGAAAATCATCTCGTGTGAAAACTAATCAAGATTTGTTAAATCGACTTCTGTGTACATCTGATCCATTTATTGCATCTCTGAGAAAGACAGCAGGGAGTCAAACCAAAACGAAAAACTTACCAGCTGGAGTTATCGACTGAGGTCATCCACAGATGATAGTAGTTTTTAAATGTGTCTTTTGTATCTTAATAATTTTGGAAATGTCTATACCTATATGAAAGTGTTAGTGTAAATTAAAAAAATTAGTTATGCTCAATCCTATAAGAATCATCAAATTAATTTGCATACCAAGTTTAGAAACATTTGGCTAAAAATAACCCTTAGGAACTGAGCATAAATATGTGTTGCTATGCAAATGGGGTTGCCTTGGCAACCACACAAAAAACAATGCTCATTTAAATTATTATCATCCAATTAATTTATATACCAAATTTTGAGGCCTACGGATGAAAGGAAAGGCACAGTGGGCCCGAGTCATATATTTTTGGAAAAAAGTTATGACTTTTTTCCAAAATTACGGGATTCTGGCCCACTGTGCGTTGATGGGTTCAGTGACGCAACAGCTTTTCAACTAACTATAAGTTAATACAATGCTTTTTAACCAACTTTTTCTGAATAGTGATGAAAAGTTTACATTAGAATTGATAATTTCTAAAAAAATCTCGCCTTAAAGCCTGGTTTAATTGTGATAAATAAACTTTTTTAGCATTTTAGTTCAGTGACGCAACCTAATTTTTACGGATGTGTGTGAAAAAAAAAAAACACTTAAATTATTTTTAAAGAATAGCAGTTTTTTTCTCTAGACATATATTATCTCAAAGATTTTTTTTAAACAAAATATAGATTTTGTTTCAAATATTGCAATAACTTGCCCTCAAATTTAACTCACTTTTTTGAATAATAAAAAGAAAAATCAGCTGTTAACATTCATCAAATTTATCTCGGCTCAAATATTTTCTACTCAAAATTTAATTTATTAATAGTTTTCAGGTGTTTATTAATTAAAATCAATTTAAGAAAAAAAATTTTTGAAAAAAGAAATTTTTAAACACGAAATTTATCTCTTCCATCGTGCAAATAGCCATATATATAAAAAATATTGCATATTAAAAAGAAAATCCTTTTTTCCCTAAAGTGTTGACGTACATTACAGACATTCTTTTATCATGTTTTATAAAATCGTGTACCAACCGAGGTGTACCAAACTTAACTTGCTGACAGCTGACAATGGTGAACGACCAACAAAAACCCACCTCATTTCCTAATAAGAAATTTGATGCATACTTCTTGTTTTATTACTTATGATTGTTAAAATAATTTTTCTATTTTTGTTTTAGCAAAGGAAAACACTTATATGAACAAAGGGTGAAAGAACAAGCAAAGTTAATGAATATATGAACTATTGCATCATAAAGACACAAAGGATGGATTATGTTCGCCCAATTTCTGCCTAGGCGTTTCAAGTTTTTTTTTTTTACTGTATCGTTTTCTCGTCGTTGTTTTTCAATCTTATATGCAACTATTTCAAGAATTTTTTATGCAGATAATAAAAGTCCAGTACAATCAAAGACTTTTAAGCCTACGGTATTTATTGATGGTTAAATAAAAATACTATAAAAAAAGTATGAAGATAAGTAGATGACAAATGATACGTTGATTAAAGATATTTTGAATTTTACATTGAAGTTACGAAATTTCTGTTTTTAATTTTAGATAAAAATTATTGCTGGATCTTTTGAGTAATCTTTAGCTAGTTTTTATTTCAAAATGATTTTTTGCGTCAACTCAAGTTTAATTAAGCTTTAATATAAGCATTAATTTCATCATTGTTTTTTCATTTCATTGTCATTTATTATTGATTCAATTTCGGCTAATTTCTATTATTAGTCAAATTAATTTAATCAACCCGCTATTTTAAAATTACTATACATGAAAGCAATGGTATATATAAACTAGATGTCTAACTTCGATCCGAAAAGTGAAGCCACTTTTGCCTATTTCACAAATGGCGGATTAAGTTTGTAAACAACGTTTAACGTTAAATTTAAACATCTAGTATATATAAAGCGAGTTCTGTATTTTAAAGATTTTCAATAATAGGACGGTGAATTCCTGTGCTGCGTATAGTTGGTCAAATAGATACATGAAAAGAAGTAACATCCTTTCATAAGTTTCCAGTTCATAACCAAGAATTATGCAAAAAGTGGACAATCGTATTAAAATGCAACAAGTTTATTCCATCGTTTTTTTGTTAATGATAATGCTACTTCTACCAACCAAAGAAAGTTTAAAAAGATAAATATTTATATAAGGTACCAAAATCTGGCTTCCAAAATAAAAATGATGGCAACATAGCTCGCAGTTTCTTTATGAAGCCTTACGTAAGATGTAATATACTAAGTAATATTTAATAAGATATGAGACAACAAATAAATGCTTGTGGTCTTAGATGAAAATTACAAGAAGCTCACCTGTCTAAGAAGACGAAAATGAAATGTAAAATATGAGCGCGTAAAAATTCAAGATGTTTTAAAATCTGATACGTGATGAGGTTGCAGCGGGTCAAATTTGATAAAATTAATATCAAGATAATAAAATAACCTTACTTAAAACTTGGTTATTTCATTTTGACATTCACATTATCAAATTTGAAATATATTTTTATGAAACCAGAACTTTTTATTTAAATGGTATTATACGGATGCTACTGCATATAATACCAATACGTAAATTTTCATAAATTAGTTTAGGTGCTACTCATTAAATTAAAAACTAATCAGTGGAGTGACACCTAAAAAAACGCATGAAATAAAACAAATAAAGAATTAAAATAGATATTAAAATATAGTTATAGTAATTAAAAAATGAAAAATAAAAGTTTAGTATTTAATTTTTAATTTTATTTATTACAGTAATCAATACAACTTCTTGATTGAATTGATGAAGGGAAGCACATCAGGCTTTCCTATGCTGACAATGGACATTGCTGCAGCCGAAGCTGCATTTTAAACTTGTTTTTTAAAAAAGTGCACAGTGGGTGCATCATTTACATTCTGAGCTAATTTGTTCCATCGTTTAGTAACTCGGTTTGTAAAGAAGTGCTGACGTTCTGAATTTCTTTTGATCAGTTGTGGTTTTAAACATCGTCTGTTTCTTCTCAGATTGTATCGTGAATTTAACAAAAAAGGCTGGGCTTGTGGTATGTAATATTTAACTTCTTGTAACTGATGAGCAATTTTGTATTGCAGTATAAGGTCACTGCGAATTCTGCGTTCTTCCAGCGTGGTTAGATCTAGTAGTTGTAGTCGTTTTTCGTAATTAAAATGTTTAATCGACGATATAACTTTTGTTGCACGTTTTTGCACACGTTCGAAAAGGACGATTTCCAATTTAAGATGTGGAGACCACATCTTAAATTGCGGTCGAAGATTTAAGATGCGGTCGAACGTATAGCTGTTACAATTTCTTCCAAAGCTGGAGGCCACGGCATCGAAATGTCTTTTTAAAGCGACCAAGCATTCGATTTCCGGCAGAAGCTGCTGCTTCTATTTGTGCTTTCACTTTGAAGTTGTCGGATATTAGTACCCCAAGGTCGCGCTCGATGCACGTTGGGGATAAGTTATGTCGGTTAACGTTGATGTCTGCCATGGTATATGTATGTGTTGATTTATTTTTGCGGCAACCAACGTGCATTACTTTGCACTTCTCGATGTTGAAGTGCATAAGCCATTTATATGACCAACTTACAGCATTGTCAATGTCCGTTTGCAGTGTTTCATAATCAGAGGATGATTGATTATTATTTATAATTCCTATGATCTTGCTATCACCGGCGTATAACTTGGTATAATTGCTAATGCCATCTGGATAGTCATTGACAAAAAGCACAAATAGCAGTGGTCCAATTACTGATCCTTGAGGGACTCCACTTGTAAGTCTTTTCCACTTGGAAGTTTGTTCTTCAATAACTACACGTTGTTTTTTTTTCACTTAGCCAAGCAGAGATCTAGTGGAATAGCTGGCCTTTAATGTCATAGGCCTAAATCTTGTGAAGGAGTCTTTTGTGTGGTACTGTATCAAAAGCTTTGGCAAACTTTGGTAAGCTGCCTACGTGATAATGTCACGATATTCAATTAAATTTGTAAGACAACCTCTATGATTTACAAATCCATGCTGAGATTATGAAATTAGATTGTGTAGTGTACAGTGTTTCATAATCCTCTCTTTTATAATTCTCTCCATTACCTTGCACGGTACAGAGGTAATATAATTATAAGCTTTGAGTTTGTTTCCTTTTTTTGAAGATAGGAGTAACACTTGATTTACGCCAAAGATCTGGGACATTTTCAGTTTGAAAGGATTGCTTGAAAATTAGTGAAAAAGGTATTGCAAAAGCTTTTGCGCAGTTTTTTAGAACACGAGGATGTACTCCGTCAAGTTCCATTTATTTAGTGTCGTCAAGACAGAATAAGTAGTTTTGCACTGTAGCAGCTGTAAACAAACTTTCGTCGATTTCGCAAGTTGGTTTTGTTCTCTCTTCAAATATTGGTAAAGGTGTTGGGGGTTCTTCGACAAAAACTGAATGAAAATAGTTGTTTATCGTTTATCGTGAAGTTATAAACTTAGTTGAAAATAGTTGTTATCGTTATCGTGAAGTTATAAACTTAGAGTCTTCGATGATGTTAACATCGCTAGTTTCAAGCATACTAATGTGATTATGTACTTTAAGCTTGTTTTTTACGTGTGAGTACAGACGTTTTGGGAATTCCTTGAAACTGCTTACTAGTTGTTGTTCGTAATAAAGGACAGCCGCATTGACCACATTTTTAACGTGTTTGCATGCAGCCTGATGTTCATTACGTAATTTTGCATGAGAATCTTTACCAGCAGCAACGTACTTTGCCCAAGTTAAACGTTTTAATTTTACTGCTTCCAATACTTTTGGTGTGACCCAAAGATCTTGCTTAATTTTAAATGAAGTCTTTGTTGATGGAATGTACAATTTTACAGCTTCGTTGTATACGTCAATAAACCAACTGTACAGATTGTTTGCAGAGAGATTGGTTCTTTAGAAGTTATATGTAACGAAGTTGCATCAAAATTTGCTTTACTCCAGATAAACCGTCGGCGACTAGGAGATGTTAGTTTGTTCTTGTTGAAGTATACTGCAAAAAGACCGACTAAAAGATTGAGCTTTTCCCATTGGTGTATGTCCAAGCGAATTTCCTTCGTTTATTATTAGTGATGATGAGGTCAAGCGTGCTACATGGAGTTGCAAGCATGTTATTGCGATATGTTGGGAATGTTGAGTTAAATAGCAGTCTTTAAGACACTCTTGGAATTTGATATCACAGAGACGTTGTTCAGTAACATGAGCGGTTGTTTCTACACCACCATTAACATTGCATGATTTATAACTGGTGTGGCTAAAATTAAAATCACCATACAAAAGCATTGTTGAACACTTTAATTTTGGAAATATCTGTTGCGCTGCTTTAATAGAGGCAAGAATCTGAGTGAGCGTGTCATCGTTTTTTATCTATTCGACGATACATACAACCAAGAAATATTGATTCGTTTTCAAAATGTATTATGTGCCAGATTTGTTCTACGGATGTCGAGGTGAGTGTGGCGTCGGTAACCTTGCTGTTAGCGAGGCTATCTATGATGTAGATTGCGACACCTCTCCCTCTACCATCATGGTCTGTGTTATGCAGCTGATAACCAGCAATGGTAGTGTCTGACGTAGCACTGAACCAAGTTTCAGAAAAGAATATTACGTGTGGCAAACCAAGTTTCAGAAAAAGGCGTAGCACTGAACCAAGTTTCAGAAAAGAATATTACGTGTGACGAACCAAGTTTCAGAAAATGGCGTAGCACTAAACCAAGTTTCAGAAAAGAATATTACGTGTGGCGAACCAAGTTTCAGAAAAAGGCGTAGCACTGAACCAAGTTTCAGAAAAGAATATTACGTCTATATATATCTATTATAAATAATAATGAGCAGAAATTACATAAAGAGCCGTTTTTACCCAAGGACAAATGCTGGGAGGCCATCTCAAAAGTTAAGGCCATTTTAAAATTTAAAGGCTTATGATTGGTTTTCAAAGAAAGCGCACAATTGATACTTTGTTTGTGGGTAAAGTTTCAAAATATAAAGCGATTGAAAATATAAATTACACAATGTGAACAGATAATGTTTTTTTAATTTGATTTTCTTATTTTCTTTTTCGAATGTGAAATTTAACAAAAATTTTAAATCATTGTTCTACTGCATTTTAATTTATATTATGTTATATTTTATACTATAATACTTTGAAAAGCAGCCGTGGTGCGGTGTTAGTGCACTCGCCTCAGAAACGTAAAATCCGTGGTTAAAACCCTACCTCTAGGGCAAATTTTGCGACATTGGTTTGGATGGAGGCGAGAACTTGCTATTAAATGCTCTTCCGCGGTGCTTTGGGATAAGACCGTAAGGACTTTTTGGAACATCTTAGCGAAGTGGGCGCAATAACGGTAATATATTACCGTAAAAAACTTGACTATATTTGTAGGCCAGTAGACCTACAGGGATATTCCTGGTATCCCGGTTAGTCAGTCCAGCAATGAAAACTTGAGTTTTTATAAAAAGTATCTATTTGCAACTTTTAATCTATGCTATTTACTTATTTTATTTCCTTTTAAAAAAATGGAA